ACAATAGCAAAAAGATGGAAACAACCTAGGTGCCCATCAACAGACGAATGGATAAACAAATCATGGTATATCCACACAATGGAATACTACACAATAATAAAGAAACATCTTATAACATGGAGGAAGCTGGAGGTCATTATGCTGAGTGAATTTAGTCAGTCAAAGGACAAATACTGTACAAGACCACTATCATAAGAACTCAAGAAAAGGTTTAAACACAGAAGAAAACATTCTTTGATGGTTACAAGGGTGGGGAGGGAGGGTGAGGGGTATTTACTAACTAGACAGTAGATAAGAATTATCTTAGGTGAAGGGAAAGACAGCACACACTATAGGGAAGGTCAGCACAACTGGACTAAACCAAAGCTAAGAAGTTTCCTGAATACAATCAAACACTTTGACAGACAGAGTAGCAAGGGTAGGGGTCTGGGGACCATGCTTTCAGGGGACATCTAAGTCAACTGGCATAACAAAGCTTATTAAGAAAATGTTCTGCATCCTACTTTGGTGAGTGGCGTCTGGGGTCTTAAAAGCTTGCAAGCCGCCATCTAAGATGCATCAAGTGGTCCCAACCAACTGGAGTAAAGGAGAATGAAGAACACCAAAGACACAAGGAAAGCATCAGCCCAAGAGACAGAAAAAGCCACATAAACCAGAGACTTCATCAGCCTGAGACCAGAAGAACTAGCTGGTGCCCAGCACCACCAATGACCACCCTGACAGGGAACACAACAGAGAGTCCCAGATGGAGCAGGAGAAAGGAAGGGTGCAGAACTCAAATTCTAGTATGAAGACCAGATTTAATGGTCTGACTGAGATTGGAGGAACCCTGGAAAGCATGGCCCCTGGATACTCTATCAGCCCAGAACTAAAACAATTTCTGAGGCCAACTCTTCAGACAGGGATTGGACTGGACTGTGGGACATAAAATGATACACGTGAGGAGTGTGTCTCTTAGCTCAAGTAGATACAAGAGACTAAACAGGCAGCTTCTGTCCGAAGGTTAGATAGGAAGGCAGAGAGGGTTAGGAGCTGGTTTAATGGACACAGGGTATCAGGGGTGGAGAGGAGGAGCGTGCTGTCACAGTATGGGGAGAGCAATTAGAGTCATATAACAATGCACATATAAACTTTTGTACGGAAAAAAAAAGTTCTGGACACTGAAGCATCATGGCCTTCTTGGTTGGTAAAAGACATCAATGCATGCGGGAAGGTTGCACATTCCGTTTTGGGACATGGAAGCTCCACTTTGGGAACCCTCCCAGACCTCGCCATGTGTCTCTCTTCATTTGTATCTTATTTCCTATAATAAAACTGTAATCATAAGTACAGCACCTTCTGTTGAGTTCTGTGCATTTTTCTTGCAAATTATCAAACCCAAAGGAGTAGTGGACACAAGCCAGGTCAGAAACAAGGGAGGCTAGGGCCCATGAGCTACGACTGATATCTTGAGGGGGTAAAGGAACCCCTAAATTTGTAGCCAGCAAGTCAGAGAAGAGTCCCTGGGACTCCCAAACTTACGGCTGGCCTTCTGAAGGGGAACCGGGAAAATACTGAAATTGTAGCCAGCCGTCAGAAGTGAGGAAGGCCTGAGGACTCCAAAGCTTATGGCTGGTTTCTACAGTCGTAGGCAGAGTGGAGAACTGTGCCCTTTCACTTGTGAGAGCTGACTTAGCAGAAACTAGGCAGAATAGTGGCTCAGTGTGGATCCGAGGCAGTATTTCCAACAAACATATATACTTATTAGAATCTCTCTCCCTAGAAGTTGCCAAATATGTTAAAATGAAACCTGGCCAGTGCCTATCAGGCTGTTATATGCCTGCTGATTCATGGAAACAAAACATTTCTTGTTTCAACGTTTTGACCCTTAAACTGAGTTCTTCTGTACACATGAGCGCTTTGAAGCTGCAGAAAGACTGTACTATCTTTAGGCTTTACCATCCCAAAACCGTAAGAACAGACCCAGAATTCCCTCTCCACTTCTCTCCCTTCACCAGCGTCAGGTTCACTTCGGAAAGATGCCAAGAATTAAAAACCTGTCCCTGGAGAAGAACATCATGCTTGGTAGAGGGTCAACAAAAAAGAGGAAGAGCCTCAACGAGATAGACTGACACAGTGGCTGCAACACTGGGCTCAAACACAGCAACGATTGTGAGGACGGCACAGAACCGGGGCAGAATATCCTTCTTTTGTACACAGGGTCGCTAAGAATTCTAATCTACTGGAAGGCACCTAGTAACAACAAACCGCAGCTTCAGAACCCGGTGGGCTCCTCCTCCCAGTCCCGCTCCGATTCGCACATGCGCAGTAGCAAGTCTGTAATGTTCTAGAGCTTCACCCTCTTTATCCCTTTTCTGATTGACACTTTTTTTAATCCTCGCGCTTTCCACGGGTGAAGCTACCTGAAATTTAAATTACTTTACCTTCCCATAACTGTAGCACCTCACCCTTCAGTTTGTGGAACTTGTTTCCGAAGAAGCGTTAGGCATCCGTGACTCAGTTCTCGCGAGAAGCGACCTCTGCTCGCGGCATTTCCTTGTTTCCAGAATCCTTAGCGAGAGAACACTCATTTATCTCTCCTAGTGTTGCTGCCGCAGTTTCTTGCGGCCTCCCACGGTGTCCCAGTTGCACTTTCTCCTGGGAAAATGGCAGCCCCGGAGCAGCCACTGCCTAAGTCGAGAGGTTGCCAGAGCTCCGCTTCGTTTTCCCCGCCGCGGGGCGACCGAACCCTTCTAGTACGGCACCTGCCTGCGGAGCTGACCGCTGAGGAGAAAGAGGACTTGCTGAAGTACTTCGGCGCGCAGTCCGTCCGCGTCCTGTCAGATAAGGGGCGACTGGTAAGGGCGCGTCCCTCTCGAGCCGCTCGGGAAGGGCTTTGATTAGTGGGGAGGGGGAGCTCTGACGGAAAAAGAATTTAGAGAAGAGTGGGGAAGACGCTCTTGTGTGGTAGGGACTTATCCATCTTTCTTCTTTTATGTCAAATTATCTTGCGTTCCAAGTGAAGTTTTAATTGGCTTGAGCCTAGAATAGTCACAGCGCTGCGGAAAAGGAGCCCTGGTGGTGCAGTGGTTAAGAGCTCGGCTGCAAACCAAAAGATCGGCAGTTTGAATCCACCAGCTGCTCCTTGGAAACCCTGTGGGGCAGTTCTGTTCTGTCCTGTAGGGTCGCGATGAATCCTAATCGACTCCACGGCAACAGGTTTAGGCGAGGCATAAAAATGGAAAATAACTTACGGTAGTTATTTATATTCTCTTTTTGGACCCATCTGGAGAATCTCACAACTCTTCAGAATTTGGGAATATTTCTCTTAGCCGTAGATACCATTAGAATTGTGGAACAATTTTTTAATCGTGCATTTACAATTTTATGTTAAAATATTTTACCAAAATTGAGGAGAAATCACAATAGTCAATAATTTGAGTAAAATGAGTACAGGACTTTCTACCAGATCTTTAACCAAGGGACTCAGAAAAATTTCCTGACCTAAACCATTAGGAAGCAATAGTTTAAGACTATTAAAAGTTCCTGTACAGAAATTTACACAGTGATTTTTTCTTTATACTAGAAGATGTTTTAGATGGATTACTGTTCATTAAAGTAGTAATGGTGATGCTTTTCTACAAGATGGTCTGTGCTGGGGTGATACAGTAATGTTTTTAAAGTCTCCCCAGGTAACCCTAACATGCAACCAGAATTGAAAATCACAGCTAGAGGAAGGACCAATTTTGATCAGTGAAAGTCTTATGTATGCAAATACAAATATTCTATGTGGCTCAATTTAAGCACTCTTAATTAAATCATCTTGGCTCAGATTAGATAAAATTAGAATCTGTGCTATTATTCTAAACAAACAAACCTGTTGAAGTAGAGTTAATTCTGACTCATAGTGACCCTATAGGACAGAGTAGAACTGCACCATAGGGTTTCCAAGGAGCTGCTGGTAGATTCCAGCTGCCAACCTTTGGTTAGATGCGGAGCTCTTAACCACTGCACCCCCAGGGCTCCATCGAACTACCCCAACAAGCGTTAATAAGCATTAACAAGAACTCTTCCTTAAACACCATGATGATTTGTTTAGTTTTGACATACGCTCCTTTTCTGGTGGTTTTAGAAATATTTAAAGTTTATATTTAAAGACGGACTTCTTCCCTTGAATCTTTTTGTAAGGATAAAATACAAAGGAAAAACATACTTGGAGGAGTGATTTCTCTGTTGGTGAACACTTTTAAACTTGCAATGAGCTGTATAGAGAAAGTTTGAGATCTTTAACAGTGTCATAAATGGGAGATATTTTATACTTTTTAATAGTTTAAAGGCGGTCCTTAGTGTACAGTAGAGGTTTTTAAACTTCTGATATGTGAAGTATATGAAAAAACAAAACAAAAACAAACCCATTGCTGTCAAGTCAATCCTGACTCATAGTGACCCTATAAGACAGGGTAGAACTACCCATAAGGTTTCTAAGGAGCGGCTGGTGGATTCGAACTGCCAGCCTTTTAGTTTGCAGCCAAACTCTCAACCACTACACCACCAGGGCTCTGAAATATATGAAAGTATAGATAAATGTGGTGTGTGTATGTGTGTACACATAAGAAAAAAGCTGCATAGCTTTCATCTTGAAATCTCTGACCCAAAAAGGTTCCAGACCACTGTATACTGAAGATAATAATTGGCTAAATTACCTCAATTTTCCATCCTTTCCCATAACTTATTAATATATCAAATCACTCTCTACTAGTAAAATGTCAAACTTCTTTATTAGAAATTGAGATTATGTTAGAAATAATTTCTACCTTAATTCTTTTTCAGAAACATACAGCTTTTGCTACTTTCCCTAATGAAAAAGCAGCTATTAAGGTATGACTTTTTCTTTACTATTAACGTGATCAACAGTCTTCTATTATCCAATACTTGGTTGAAAAATGGGAGGTAATGTTAAACTGTAGTTTTTAAAAGCAAAAAGATTTATATTCCAAGAGTGTTCGACAGGCTGTGTTTGGTTTGTCAAATTGGAAAAGTCAGATCTTGCCCTAATGCTTAGGTATTTGGACATAAGAATAATAGATTAACTGTAAAGTGAATTAAAGTTGACTGGTAATGTGTATATGTAATTTAAAATAATTTCTAAAGGATGCAAAGATTAATAATTATTACAAGGCAAGATGTTTGAAGTATTAAAAGGAAAGTATATTTTTAAAAACCCTAGGGAATGAATCACAAAGAAAGTGACATTTGAGCAAGAACTTTGATGATTAGTTGGATTTTGAGAAGAAAGGGAAGGGGAGATGGGCCTACCAGGTTTAGGAAACACGTAAGTGAGGCATGGAGCTAGGTGAGTGAGGATGGAAATAGGACTTGAAAAACAGGTTAAATCTAAATTTGATGGGAGGTAGGAATTGAATTTTGTTTAGTAGGTGTTCTAAGGGCATTTGATACTTTTGAGCTGGTGAATCATATGATCACACTTGTAAAAGATGTCTGGTAGTACTTATGTGATGGATTGGATGTGGAGAAAGATTTGAGGTAGGAAGACCAAATGGAAAGCTATTGCGATGGCCAAGATAAGAGAAAGCATCTGAAGATGGCAGTAGGAAGACAGAAGAAGTAGATTTGAGACACTTAGTGGAGATTGAGTTTGTAGGTCTTGTAACTCCTGTAAATGTTGAGAGAGGGGGAAAGTTCAATATTTGTGGACTGAGTTATTGGGTTGTTAAATTAATTGGCATGAGGAGCAGGTGGAGGATTAGGACATTTACAAAGGTAGTTAATGAATTCAAATGACATCTATTAACTTTGAGGAGTCATTGGGCTATGTTTATGGAAATATTTAGTGAACAGTTAAAAGTATGGGTCTAGAGCTGAGGCAAGGTCAGGAATGGAAAGAGATTCCCAAAGGAAGAGGAGCCAGCAGAAAAGACTGGAAGGTGCAGTTAAAAAGAAAGTAGAAAACTAGAAAATTGTCATGGATGTTGTCATGGATTGAATTGTGTCCCCCAAAAAATGTGTGTAGCAACTTGGCTAGGTCATGATTCCTAGTATTGTATGATTGTGTTATCTAATGTGATGTCCTTATGTGTTGTAAACTCTACCACTATGATGAGATTATGTGTGATCTCCTCATGTGTTGTAAATTCTATCACTGTGATGAGGTTATACTGATGAGATTGACAAGATCAGTGTCTTAAGCCAATCTCTTTTGAGATATAAAAGAGAGAAGTGAGCAGAGACACATGGGAACCTCATACCACCTGAGGTTCCTGCGCAGAGAAGCTCCCAAACCAAAGGAAGATTGATGACACGGACCTTCCTCCAGAGCTGATGGAGAAAGCGTTCCCCTGGAGCTGACGCCCTGAATTTGGACTTGTAACCCACTGGACTGTGAGAGAATAAATTTCTCTTTGTGGGGCCATCCACTTGTGGTATTTCTGTTGAAGCAGCACTAGATAACTTGGACAGATGTGAACAGAAGAAAGTTTTAAGAAGATGAGATCTGACACAAAATGAAGAATGAGCCTGTTTAAAAAAAAAAAACAAAAAAACCAATTGCCATCAAGTAATTGAGACTTTTTATTGTGAAACAGTAGAAATGACCCAAATTCTCATCAATCAGGTGAAGGAATACCTCAAATAAAATTATATCTGTACCATGGGCTGTAATTGAGAATGAGGTAAGAGGATATGTATTAATGGGAAGAGATGGAATATGCAGATGAAGTCGCAAAACATGTAACCTTGGATTGCCAGAAAGCTAATAGTATACGTCTTAGTATATGCATAGAAAAAATATGGCAGAACTATACACCAAAATGTTAAAAAGTATCTATCTCAGGGTGGGATTAGAGAAGGCTTTTACATTATGCATATTTTTGTAATATATAGAGGTTTTTTTCCCCAGAAAAAATATTTTCCATAATATAGTACAAAAGTTATAAATAAATATGCTAATTGTCTTGGTTATCTAGTGCTGCTGTAACAGAAATACCAATGTGGATGGCTTTAACAGAGAGAAGTTTATTCTCTCAAAATCGAGTAGACTAAGAGTGAATTCAGGGCACCAGCTCCAGGGGAAGGCTCTCTCTCTGTCGGCTCTGGAGGAAGGTCCTTGTCATCAATCTTTCCATGGTCAAGGAGCTTCTTAGTGCGGGGACCCAAGGTCCAAAGGATGCGCTGTTCTCCTGGCTCTTGTTTGAGGTGGTATGAGGTCCCCCTGTCTCTCTGCTTACTTCTCTCTTTTATATCTCAAAAGAGATTGACTTAAAACACAGCCTAATCTTGTAGATTGAGTCCTGCCTCATTAACATAACCACCACTAATCCCACCTCTTTAACGTCATAGAGGTCGTATTTACAACACATAGGAAAATCAGATCAGATGACAAAATGATAGACAGTCACACAATACTGGGAATTGTGGCCTAGCCAAGTTCACACACATTTTTGAGGGTTACAGTTCAATCCATAACATCCCACCCTTTGGTCCCCCAAAATTCATGTCCTTGCCACAAATAAAACACATTTACCCCATCGTACCATAACAAAAGTCTTAAATCAACTCCAAGTACAAAATCCAAAAATTCCTCTTCATCCGTGAAATCTATATTACAAGTTATCTGCTTCCAGAGTACAATGGTAAAACAGGCACAAGCTAGACATTTCCGTTATAGATGGGAGAAACTGGAGGAAACGGGATAACAGACACCAGGCAACTCAGCAGAACACATTACATTAGCTCTCAAGGCTTGAAAATAATCCTCTGTTCTCTAAGACCATTTAAACAATGGCCCTGCCCTCCAGACTTTAGGTATTGGCCACACTCTCTAGACTGAGTGGAGGTCCCTCGGCCTGGGGTTCAGCTCCACCTTCCAGGCCCACTACGATGGCAACTCTGCTCTCTCAAATCTGGGGGGCCTCATTCCCCTAGTATATCTGAGTGGCAACTCCACCCTCTGAGACTGAGGCAGCTCTGCTTCCTGTGTTCCTTGTCTATTCAGCTTCTGCTTCCTGGTTCCTTGGCCTCTCGGCCCATTGGGCCTCATCACCTGCCTCTGTGCTGCTGGGGCAAGTGTTCCAAAGCTCCGTAGCTCCACTGATAAGCGCCTGGAGACACCCTACTCTGCCAGTAAACTTTGGCTGGAAGGTACTCAGCTCTCTTACTCTAGGGGTTGGCAAGCCTAGGTCTACCCATTAAGTGCCTGAAGGCACCACACTCTGCCAGGAAGTCTCCTGCCAAAGACATTCAGCTCTAACTCCATGGGTCAGCTCCAGCACTGTCTCACACTGGTCTCCTGGTTCATTTGCGACAATTTCTCTGCTGCTGCTGCTTGCCGTCTTTGCCATCTCCAGTGTAATAGCTCTCCTCATTTCCTTCTGAGTCCTCACCGGAATTGTCTTTGATTGTCCGTAATTCCACCAACAGTCTCTTCAAGGCAATCTAGGCTTTTACTATTAGGCACTTTAAAACTCTTCCAGCCTCTCTCTGTTCATGATTTCAAAACTGCTTCCACATTTTAGATACCTGTTAGAGCAGCACCCCACTCCTGGTACCAAATTCTGTCTTGGTTATCTAGTGGTGCTATAAAAGAAATACCACAAGTGGATGGCTTTAACAAAGAGAAATTTATTCTCTCACAATCTAGTAGGCTAAGAGTCCGAATTCAGGGCACCAGCTCCAGGGGAAAGCTTTCTCTGTCTGTTGGCTCTGGAGGAAGTCCTTGTCATCAATCTTCCCCTGATTTAGGAGCTTCTCAGTGCAGGAACCCCAGGTCCAAAGGACACGCTATGTTCCCAGTGCTACTTTCTTGATGGTAGGAGGTCCCCCTGTCTCTCTGCACCCTTCTCTCTCATATCTCAAAAGGGATTGATTTAAGACACAACCTAATCTTGTAGATTGAGTCCTGCCTCATTAACGTAACTGCTGCTAATCCCACCTCATTAACTTCATAGAGGTAGGATTTACAACACATAGGAAAATCACATCAGATGACAAAATGTGGACAATCACACAATACTGGGCATTGTGGCCTAGCCAAGTTTATACACATTTTTGGCTGACGCGGTTCAGTCCATAATACTAATGAAAACCACATTGTCATGGAATCAGGATTCACTTGGAGCAGAGGAATGACATAATGTAATTTATGCTAAAAACGATCATTTTGGCAGTTGCCTTGAGAATAGACTATAGGGGGGTAAGGATAGAAAAAGGGAGGGAGATCTGTTAAAAGGTTATTGTGGTAATTCAAGCCAGAGGTGATGGTTGCTTGGACCATGGTGATAGCAGTGGAGGTGGTAAGAAGTGGTTAGATTCTGGATATATTTTGGAGGTGAAAGTAAATAGGATAATCTTGGATGGGTTGGATATGGAAAATGAGAAAGAAGAGTCAAGGATGATTCTAAGGTTTTTGACTTGAGTAACTAGAAGAATGGAGTTACCATCAACTGAAATGGGGAAGGCTCCAAGTGGAGCACATTTCTGGGAAAAAGATCAGTGATTCAATTTCTGAAGTGTTGAAATTGAGATGTTTATTAAACACCTGAGGAGAGCTATATGGAGTAGTTTGGATATATACTCTTGGACTTCAGGACAGAGGTCTGGAATAAAGTTACAAATTGGTGAATTATCAGCATAGAGATGATTCTGTGCTGATTATATTTAGGTGGCTGGATTAGATCAAGAAAATGACTTTTGAAAGGACCAAGAACAGAGCTCTGGTGTACTCTAACATCAAGAGTTTGAGAAGACAATAGCAAAAGAGATTAAGGAATAGAAACAAATGAAGTAGAAGCAAACTAAGAAAGTATGGTGTCTTGAAACCAAGTGAAAAAAATCGTATTAAGGAGAGAGTGAACTATGTTAAATGCTATAATATGAAGACTGAGAGTTGACCATTGGCTTGACAATGGAGAATTTATTGTTGACTGTGAGTCGGAATCAACTCAACAGCAGCGGGTGTGATTTTTCTGACAAACAGTGTCAGTGGATTGATTGGGGCATAAACCTAACTGAAATGGGTTTGAGACAGAATGGGAAGAGAAGAATTGTAGATAGAAAGTTCATATAATTCTTAAGTCATTTTTTTTTTTTAAGATGGGAGAAATGGGAACATGTTGATATGAATGATCTAATAGATGGCAGAAAATTAACGATGTAGGTAAGAATGGCCATCTGTACAGTTCTAAAGAGTAGCTAAAGAGAGATTCTTGAATAGATGAGAGAGGATGGGATTTAGTATATAAGTCAAGCAACTGGATTGAGATAGAAACATAACTAGTAGAAGGTAGAATATGTAGATGCAGATGCTGGTATGTAGGAAGTTGTGGAAATCTGAAATTCTCATCAAGTTGCTTCAGTTTTCTCAAAGTAGGAAGCAAAGTCTTAAGCTAAAAGAATAGGAGAGGAATATTCTGAAGTTGAGAAAGTACAAAATATTCTCTTAGAGATTGGTAGAGAAAATGGACTAATAACGTAATACTTCATTGTGTGGCATCATTAAAGGCTGCCTTTAGATTTGTGTCCATGGTCATGAAGTTAAAGGAGACCAGGCAGCTTCGTTACGTGTGTTTTTATAGCCATTTTTGGCTGTGTGATTATGATGGGCTGACAGTTACATTTAGGCAGGTTTTGGTTTTGCCGAGTGTTAGGGATCAGTCTTTTAATAAGTAATAAAGACTTAGCATTCCAGGAGTGGAAATGGGTAAGAAATAGCCAAGGAAAAGGTAACACAACAGTTAACAAAAAAATGTATAAATTATTTTGCATATGGTCTCTAACACATGATTTTTGTTAGATCATCAAATCCTCATATTTTTTACTCTCTTGTTCTTCCAACCGAAGGCATTGACAAGACTCCATCAGCTGAAACTTTTAGGTCATACTTTAGTTGTTGAATTTGCAAAAGAGCAGGATCAAGTTCATTCTCTACTGTCTTCTTCAAACACTGAAAAAAAGAAAAGGTATGTAGATAGGTAGATTTTCCTAACATTTTAACATATCAGTTGTATTATTACTGGACTGTTTTCAGATTAGCAAGTAAATAATTTTCAACAGAGTAAATGATACATCTCTCTGTTGAATCTAATATATCAAAAAAATTGCTCCTGAAGTTGTTGTTATTAGCTGCTGTCAAGTCATTTCTGACTCATGGCATCCCTACGTGTACAGAGTAGAGCTGCTTCATAGGGTTTTCAAGACTGTGACCTTTCAGAAGCCGAGGCACTTCTAGGTAGGTTTGAACCACCACCCTTTCGGCTAGTAGTCAAGCCCTTAACCGTTTGTGCTACTTAGGGGCTCCTAATTGTGCTTTAATTTTAGGAACCTGAGTGTTGATTTAATATTGTTTTTGTTTTGTCGGGGGCTGTGGAGTCAGTTCTAACTCATAGTGACCCCATGTGATAGAGTAAAACTGCCCCCATAGGGTTTTCTTGGCTGTAATCTTTAAGGAAGTAGATCACCAGGCCTTTGTCCAGTGGAGCCACTGGATAGGTTCAAACAGCCAACCTTTCAGTTAGCAGCTGAGCGCTTAACTGTTGTGCCACCAGGGCTCCTTGATTTAATATTAGAAATTGATTAATGAGAAGTGGGAAGGGACTGGGCTGAAAAGTATTCAACTTTAAGTAGAGGGAAGGTAACTTGTATAAGGTCTTTGATGTGTTAGACATAGCGAGGTATCCTGAATAAGCATGTCCTTTGAAATCAGAAACTGGTACTTGATAGCCAGCTGTCCAGCTGTGACTGTTTGTAATTACATAACCTTCACAAATTTGCTTTATATCTATGGTTCTTAAAGTGTGGTCCCTGGACCAGCTGCATCACTTGGGATCTTGTTTAAAATGCAAATTCTCGGGCCTTAGCCCATCCTATTCAATTAGAAACTTGGGGCTAGGAGTGGGTAAGGCCCTAGCAGTCTGCATTTTAACAAACCCCCCAGGTAAGTTCAGGTTTTTTTTTTTTTTTTTTGGTTAGTGAGATACCATCTTCATAGGGTTGTTGTGAATCGAAAATGTGGAGTGCCCAGTGTCTCAGATAGGGAAGGTATTCAGTAAAGGTTAATTCTTACTTCCCTTTTTTTAGTTGATATTTGCTTGAGAAATGCTTGGAAGTTTTTGTGGAACTGTTGTTATAATGCCATGTTTGAGAAGATAAGTTGTCTTTTCTGTGTGCAATTTTTATACTTTATTCCTTAAGATCAACTTTGACTTTCTATTTTCCAGGTCTGATGACCCTGTGGAAGATGATAAAGAAAAGAAAGAATTTGGTTGTTTAACAATAGAAAATGGAATTGCACCAAACCATGGGTTAGCATAATTTGTTTTATGCTCTTCTTTTGATTTTGTTGTTCTGTGTGTATATGGTGCAAATAAGATAATTTTTTAAATTACATGTTAGTATATGTCTTGCCTACTTTTACTGTGTTGATTAAACATTTTGAGCTATGAGAGCTTAATTGTCACTGATACTGTTCAAACAAAGTAATCTACTAAGATGTTCAGAGTTAAAAGCGCTAATAAGAAATACCTTATTAGGAATTTTTCTTTAAACAATTTTTATTTTTGCATTTCCTTTATGCATTTTTCTTTAATGCAATAAGAAAAATAATTTTCCTTTTGAATGTACTTGAGTCTTCTAGGAACAAAGTAAATGAACGAGTATTGCATCATTTGAGCAATTTTATATGTCATCAGATTACCTGAAATGAATTATGGCTATGAAACAGTTATTAAAACATTATAGCCTTTCCATCTCGGGTCTTAAAAGCTTGCCGGTGGCCATCTAAGATGCATCAATTGGTCCCAACCACCTAGAATAAAGGAGAATGAAGAACACCAAAGACACAGGAAAGTATTAGCCCAAGAAACAGAAAGGGCCACGTAAACCAGAGACTTCATCAACCTGAGACCAGAAGAGCTAGATGGTGCCCAGCTACCACCAATAACCGCCCTGACGGAGAACACAGCAGAGAGTCCCTGATGGAGCTGGAGAAAGGTGGGGTGCAGAACTCAAATTCTAGTAAGAAGACCAGACGTAATGGTCTGATTGAGACTGGAGGAACCCCAGAAAGCGTGGCCCCTAGATTCTCTATCAGCCCAGAACTAAAACAGTTTGGGAGGCCAACTCTTCAGACAGGGATTGGACTGGACTGTGGGACATAAAGTGATACTCGTGAGGAGTGAGCCTCTTAGCTCAAGTAGATAACAAGAGACTAAATGGGGAGCTTCTGTCCAGAGGTGAGGTAGGAAGGCAGAGAGGGTTAGGAGCTGGTTGAATGGAATGGGGAATCGGGTGGAAAGGAGGAGTGTGTTGTCACAGTATGGGGAGAGCAATTAGAGTCACATAACAAAGTATGTGTAAATTTTTGTATGGGAAAAAATATTAAAAAAAAAATTATAGCCTTTCAGCACTGTGGCCACAGCCATGAATATGCTGTGGCATCAGAAAAGACTTGCCTCCAGTGAGTGTCCTCTGCTATGGCAAGAAGAAAGTCTGATTAAACTCAGTGATACCAGTGAAATCACCAGTGCTGACTCCCATCAGCAGATCTGGAAACTAATCAAAGATGGGTAATTAATTATCCACAAGATTGTAACTGTCCATTCCTAGGCTCTATGCCAGAAAAACAACTTGGCCCTCTGGAAGGGCAGGCATATGGGCATAGGTGAGCAAAAGGGTACTTTCAATGTTCAAATCCCCAAGAAGGTATCTTGAATAGGAGGATGAGAATTCTACACTGGCTGCTCAGAAGATACCGTGAATCTAAGAAGATGTATCGCATGTATTATAGCCAGTACCTGAAGGTGAAGGAGAACTTGTTCAAGAAAACACCAATTCTCATGCAACACATCCACCAGCTGAGGTCAGACAAGGCCCACAGGAAGCTCTTAGCTGGCCAGGCTGAGACCCACAGGTCTACAACCAAGGAAGTATGCAAGTGCCATGATGAGTGGCTCCAGGCCACAGAGGAGCAACTGTCCAAGGAGGAAGAGATCAAGAAATAAAGTTCCCCCTCTCATGTCTGTTCATAGTGGCCTCGGCAGTTTTATAGACCAGTCATTCAATAAAGCAAGCTTTTATCTGCCTGCCTAAAAAACAAAAGCACAATAATAAGCATTTTAAATGTTTTTCTTTTAGGCTGAGTTTTCCTCTAAATTCATGCCTCAAGTATATGTATCCACCACCTTCAAGCACAATCCTAGCAAACATAGTAAATGCCTTGGCAAGCGTGCCTAAGTTCTATGTGCAGGTAAGTAGAATAAAACTTGTTTTCCTGAAATTAAATGCTTGATAGATTGTTTTCCGTAGTAATTCTCATACTTATTCATAATAGTATCAGATTAGTTCCAGAAATGCAGTGATATTATAATATTTTAAAGTTAAGAAAATACTACTACTTTCAAGTCAGTTGCTACTATAATCTATAATAATAATGGATACTAATAAACACAAGCTAATGGGAAAATACAATTTTTGGTAATTCTTTGTCAGTGTATGATACACCTTTACATAGAATTCTTAAAGGAGAAGACATAATGGTATCATACCAAGTGCATGGTGATAAATATGCTTTGAAATACAAAAGATAGATGATGTCTGTTTTCTTTATTGTTCTTTGCTGTTTAATAATTTCACAATAATAAGGGAAAAGTATTTAAAAACATTTAAGTAGATTTTACATTGCAATAGTTAGTAGTAGGAATAACTGTAGAATTCACAAACGTTTTAGGAAGGCTAATCTTCTGAGCCCCGCTGGCAGAGTGGTTAAGCACTTGGCTGCTAAACAAAAGGTCAGCAGTCCAAACCCACCAGCTACTCTGTGGGAGAAACATGTGACAGTCTGCTTCCATAAGATTATAGCCTTGGAAACCCCACGAGGCAGTTCTTCTCTGTCCTATAGGGTTGCTATGAGTTGGAATAGACCCGACGGCAGTGGGTTTTTAATAAGAGATGTGCCAGTGCATTGTTTTAGCCCTGTTCTGGAATTATAAAGGCAAGAGATGGGCTTTCTTATGCAGTAAATTAATCAATAATGTTATTGTAGTGAAGTTTTTAGTGCATAAAATGTAAGATGTAAGTTTAACCATTTTATACTATATGATTTTAAATATTTTATTACTTTAAGGTGCTTCATCTTATGAATAAAATGAATTTGCCCACACCTTTTGGACCAATTACTGCACGACCTCCGTTGGTAAGAAAGCTCATACAATTTTCAAGATGTAAAATTTCTCTTCCTGAGTGGGATTATTGAGGCTAAAATATACAAGTGTTATTCCATCAATCTATGATGTACATTGAAAACAAGGAACAAATATAAACTTAATAATAGTGAAGTAGAGAACTGAGAGATGGGAGAGCTAGAACACGAAAGAGATGCTTTTGGCAATAGAGGCCATCGTCACTTCTGCGTATATTGTTGAGTTCTTTAATCCAGAACAACTTGCCATCCTATAATTACACTTAACTAATTTAATTATCTAAAATTTCCATTGTTCTGGTTTTATTGCAAGTAGTTTCATTTGTAGAAGACAAATAAGGTTATTAGTATTTTCTTAGAATTTACTATGTGAATGTATCAGTAATTTAGATAGTATACTGTTCCTGCTCTTGAATAATTTTTACTATTTAGTTATTATTTTACTGTAGTACTCTTAATACATTTATAAATAATAGCAATGAGAAATGATTTTGAATGCTAACATATAAACAGAAGAAAATTTGCTTTAAGAGGTTGGCTGCTTTTCTAACGTAGATCTTGTTGGCTTTATGATTCTTCTTTGTAACCCCCTAGAATTTGCCCAATGCCTAGCACATTGCAGGGGTATTAGCTAAGGCTATGCTAGCTGCTGTTAACAGATAAACCTCAAATTCTTAGTTGCTTAACATAGTACAAGTTATTATGTCAAGTTCATTCCAAAAGTAGGGCAGGGGGCTGTCTTCAACATATGCTTGTCTAGATTCATGAGCACTATCCCAGGAAGGATGGGAGGATTATATGTGTGGGTTTTTTAATGTTCACATTTCCATTGGTTAGAACTCAGTTAGTTACATGGCTGGAAGTAAATACAAGGGAGTTTTGAAAATTTAGTCCAGCTGGGTGCTAAGGCAAATGAAATAAGTTTTATGATCAACTGGCAGTTTGCCACAGCAGGTGTTCCTTAAATATGTGAAAGAGTATCACGGGGTAGAGAAAAATGAGAATCAAGAGTCTGAATGAAAATGGTTTGTCTTTTCTGTAAAAATCATAGATCTCCGTAGTATTTTTGTTTTGTTCTTTTATTTAGTATGAAGACTATATGCCGTTGCATGCACCTCTTCCACCTGCATCTCCTCAGCCACCTGAGGAACCTCCTTTGCCAGATGAGGATGAGGAATTATCTAGTAAAGAATCAGAGTATGAAAGCAGTGATGATGAGGACCGGCAGAGGTTTGTAATGTCAAATAATATTTGTTTAGGTTTGTCAAATGGTATTTGTTAGATTCCAAGAAACATAGATGTAGGATAGGGACTCTGTTGCTCTTCTTAAATTTTGCATACATAATCTATCCTCATTATTTGCAGATTATGTATTTACGAATTCACCCACTTGCTAAAATTTATATATACCCCTAAAATTAATACTTGGCAGCTCTTTTGTGATCATTCGCAGATATGTTCAGAGTGGCAAAAAACTTGAGTTGTCCAGTGCGTACGTGGTTGAACAAGACTGGTTTGGTGTTCTCTGCTTCAGTGTGCCTGGTAAATTTATAGAATATAACTACTGTAAATAATGAGAACCAACTATAATTCTTCATAATTTGGGGTCATTAGAATTTGTCCATCTCTAGCCCCCCAATCCCTCAAGCATATTTAGTGGTTATAGGTTAACGAAGACCTGACAACAGATATCAGGACCTAAGGAAAAATTGCTGGATTATGCATAATATTTTTAGATTGATGTTTATGATGTTATAAAATATTTATATTTTGACAGCTTATCCCCCTGGACTTTATTTATTCAAAATGATTTCTACGGTAATTCTGTAGGACTTTATGTAAAACTCTTTGTAGTTTGCAGGTGAATAATTGTTTTTATTGGTTGTTCTTGACCATCTATATATATTTTGCTTAAAGATTCTGACAAAGAGCAATTATACCTTGCTAATAATGTCCAGGCATATAATCCACAGCATAGCTTAGAACGGAAGCTGGCAAACATTTTCTGTAAAGGGCCAGATAGTAAATATTTTTTATTTTGTGGGCCACTAGTCTCTGGCACTAATAGCTCGTCTGTTGTAGCACAAAAGCAGCCATAGACAATACCTAAGTGAATGGGTGTGAGTATGTTCCAAGAAAACTTTATTTGCAAAAATAGGCAGCTGGCCACATTTGATCATTGGGCTGTAGTTTGCCAACCCCTAGCCTGGAAGACTGGTATGGGTAAATGGTGATGGGAATCTTGGGTAACTATGCACAGAAGACATCCAGTAGAGATGGGATGGTTGACATGAGTCAGAACCCAAGCAGAAACTGTGGGTAGCATATTCAAATAACCAGCAATTTGACTACTATCAAGTTAGTGACCTCTTATGTAGTAGCTCAATATATTCTCTTTCTAGGGAGAGCATTAAAATCAAAGTGTAAGTGGGACCGAAACTACAGAATGGGGGTGAATAGACATATCTATCTCAAATAGAGACATTTAGGGAAGCTGGTGGTTACTACCTGATAGAAGATAATTTTATCTTGTTGCTAAATAAAGAAGAGTATAGAGTGTTGCTTTGGGTTAATTAATTAACCCCTATGAACTTTCTTTATAGAAATGCTATATGTAAACCAGCCCAAACCTCGTGGGTTTTTTTGGTTATTACAGGTTTCCATTTAGGGACATAGTGTGGAATTCTGCCAGTAATTCACCTTGAATCACAAGAACAAAGCCTTTGCTTGAACCAATTTCTGGTTTCATGTTTCTCACATATTTTACATTCTTCTCTATTATCTTCTGAAATGTAAAAATAATAATAACCCATTGCCATCAAGTCAGTTCTAACTTATAGCAACCCTATAGGACAGAGTAGAACTGCCCCATAGTGTTTCCAAGGAGCCGCTGGTGGATTCGAACCGTGGACCTTTTGGTTAGCAGCTGAGCTCTCAACCACTATGCCACCAGGGCTCCATATAATAATAATAATGGTACATATTCACTTATTCAACAAATACTGATTATCTAATATACGCAAGTCACTGTTCTAGAAGCTTGGTATATTATGGGCGAACAATTTACAAATATAGATATTTGTTTTATATAACTGAATTCTTAAAAATTTTGGCAAACTGTGGTTGTAAGAGACTAAAAGTTTACAGCATGTTTTCATTTTTCCCCACTTAGAGAAAAAAATGTTCAAGAGTTATTTTAACCATACCTCCTCTACCCAGATTTTGTTGTATTCGTTTTGCTTTCCAGTTTCACAAATGTAACCATGGGGCAATCTAGCTATGACTAGTAGATTTTGAGCTGCTCTGTGGAAACACTGTGCCTGATTGTGGAAGATACAGAAATGCCTAGACAATATCTATTCTTAATATTAAATATTAAATAATAGAGTTCAGCTGTGAAGAAGGTATCAATCATCACTCCTTAAGTGTTACTTATAAGTTTCCTCAGAGTATAGTATTTGGAAACTTTGTTCTCAAGTAGTTTAAATTATCTTGCTTATACTAACAATTATGGAAACGCTGGTGGCGTAGTGGTTAAGAGTTTGGCTTCTAACCAAAAGGTCAGCAGTTCAAATTCACCAGGCACTCCTTGGAAACCCTATGGGGCAGTTCTACTCTGTCCTGTAAGGTCACTATGAGTTGAAATTGCCTCGACGGCAATGAGTGGTTTGGTTTGGTTTTGGTATACTGACAATTATGCACAAAATGCTTTTAAAGAAAGAAAAATACTTCAGTCCAGCCTCACTTTAATAATTAGAATATGAGTCAAAAGAATTCTATTGTATATGATCTTTTAAATATCAATCAAGCAAAGAATGAATTTACATAGATTTATTAATGTATTCTCTTCAACCATTTAACATAAAGTTCAGGGATTTTATTTGGGAAACTAATGTTTATCATGAAACATATCTTTAAAAATTGCTAAGTTGTAATTAAGTAAATTCCTGATTCCTTCAAGATAACATGACAGTTGAACAAGGAGATTTTGAACTTGAGTGTTTATCAAATTGATTACATCTTAATCGATAGTTTGGTTGTTATATTTTTGCCACACAAATCATTTTATAGATTATCTTAAAAGCCTAAATACAAATTTAAGCTTAACAGAAACAACTATGTTTTCTAGATAAGTAAATCTTTTTACCTTCCCTCTCCCCGACATAGAATGACCAAACTAATGGAACTAGCAAATCTTCAGCCCAAAAGACCAAAAACAATAAAGCAACGCCATGTGAGGAAAAAGCGAAAAATAAAGGATATGTTAAATATACCTTCATCTGCTTCACACAGGTATTTTGTTGTGGATTATGAATAAGGGTTGTTTGTATGTACTTTGTCTACTTGTTTAACACACATCATTCTTCAATCTGGCTTTTGTTTCCTGTCCCTCTCCTTGGTTCACCAGTCACTTCCTATTTGCCAAATTTAGAAGTATTTATAATTCTCTCACAGTTGACCAGTTTTTTATAATATTGACTGTCCCAGGTCTCAAAATTGTTCACCCTTAATTTTATATTACCTTTTTCTTTTTATCTCCCACCTTACTGCCTGCTTATCTGTCTGTCTCTATTCCAATTTTATGACCTCTTCTTCATGTCTCTTCCTTTAAAGTATTTGGTTCCATATGCTTGTGTCCATGATCACCTGTTGATATATTTATATTGTCTTCTATGTTGATCTCATTCATTTTTATGGTTTCAGCTAGCATATTTTTACGCAAATAACGCATGCCTTCTATGTGTGGTTGCCAATCACGCCCTCCGCCCATGAGGTATTTTTGTAAGCGTGCTGTGGTGACTTTTTTTACAGTAACGTAAAAAAAAATTGGCATAGTGGTGCTTATGAAAATAACTTGTGGGGGGCCAGGGCGTGATGGGCAAACAAACATAGAAGGTGTGTGTTATGTGTGTAAAAATATGGTATTGCAGTCAACGAATACCATATCTCCTGAGACCCAAAATCATCATTCCCAGCGTCCTATTTGCATACTCAATGTCTTGTAGGCAGTTAAAATATTCTCCAAAACAAAACTTATGTATTTTCCTCTCACCATCTATTTCTCCTCCTGCATTCATAGTTTTGATAGTGGCATCACCAATGCGTTTATATGAAATTGCATTAATTACTCCTAACTCCACTCCCTAATGTCAAACGTGTTCTGACTTCAAAGAACCCATCAAGTAAAATTTGTAAATCCTAGTTTGGCACACAGGACCCACCAGAGTACTTTTTAGGATCTGTATTTCAATATAAATTGAAATATTTAATATTTATTGGATGGTAAAGTCTTCTGCTAAACACTGTGTGATTTGGAGCATACTTCCAAAGCTTAATGGCATCTTTTTAAACCATGAGTTAATAGTCTTATGGACAAAAAAACCAAACATGCAGATGATTATTGCAATAACAATTAAAATAGTGGCACAAGAAAAAGATATAAAGTAATAACTATAGGAATTTGAGAAAAAAGAGGTCACAGCCAGTTGAGAAATCTGGGAAGGTTATAAGAAGTAGGAGACATTTGAGCTGACCCTTGAAGGATAAGAGGCAAAAATCAGTAGAGAATGGATATCCAATGTGAAGGGAAAAGTATAAATAAAGTTTCAGATGTAGCAAAGTTTGGTGAGTAGGAATAGAAATGATGAAAGGGAAAGCTAGAAAGATGTGGAGAGATTTGCCTTAAATGTTATGCTATTGTTAAGTGCTGTCGAGTCAGTTTTGACTCATAGCAACCCTAAGTACAACAGAACTAAACACTGCCCGGTCCTGTGCTATCCTCACAATTGTTATGCTTGAGCCCACTGTTGCAGCCACTGTGCCAGTCCATCTCGTTGAGGGTCTTCCACATTTTTCCTGACCCTCTAGTTTACCAAGTGTGATGTCCTTCTCCAGGGACTGATCCCTGCTGGTAATATATCCAAAGTACATGAGATGAAGTCTTGCCATCCCTGCTTCTCAGGAGCATTCTGGCTGTACTTCTTCCAAGACGGATTTGTTTATTCTTCTGGCAGTCCATGGTATATTCAATATTCTTCACCAGCACCATTATTCAGAGGCATCAATGTTAGCAAAATGTTATGCTAGAGAGTTTGAATTTATTGAGGGAGCCATTGAAATGACATTGACATTAAAAAAAAAAGAAGAAGAAGAAGAACAATTCCTTTTGGACTATGTTGTATTATAATAAACTTCGCAAGGAATAAGCAGTGTTCCTGAGAGACTGGGCCATAGGTATGCAAGAGTTTCATTAGAGATAAGTTAACTGTCAACTGTGTCTTAAACATTTTGTTGTAGTAAAGAAATTACCAATGCAGTGATACTCATTTTAAATGTATTTTGTTTGAAATGGATTATTCTTTTTCCCCTTTCATTGGTTATGTATGACATTTTACTATTTTAACATGTTTTATTTTGAAATTATGGCAAAAATTTTATTTGTTCATTCACCAAGCAATTCTGTGTATTTTAACATCTTAATCAGATAAAAATGACCATAAAATACAATTTTAATTCATTTAGTTTTTCTGTAAGGTAAATTTCCCTTTAAATTGTCAAGTAACTTCGTAAATTAAGAATTTTGTTAAAATTATGTCTTTTCTATTTTTACAAGAATGAGCTGTAATCTTTGTATTTTATTTCACTTTAAGTATAAATACTATGTACTTTTTAGCCCACCTATGTCTGTCTTGACACCACAGACGCATGCTTTTAATTTCTGTAGCATTGCTGACCACTGACTTAAAGTGGTCTCTATAAAACCTAGAAATCTAATGGGAAACACATTAAAAAGAAACGGATAAAACTAATTTTAATAATGTGCTTTATTTAACCCAATACATCCAAAATATTGTTTTATTCTGTAGTCAGTATAAAAAATTATTGGAATATTTTATATTCTTTTTTGTACTAAGTTTTCATAATCTGGTGTGTATTTTGTATTTACCAAAAAAACCCCAAACCCATTGCTGTCGAGTCGATTCTGACTCACAGCAACTCTATAGGGCAGAGTAGAACTGCCCTATAGAGTTTCCATGGAGTGGCTGGTGGATTTGAACAACTGACTTTTGGTTAGCAGTTGAGCTCTTACCCACTGAGCCACCAGACACATTTAATTTGCAATAGCCACATTTCAAGTACTCATTAGCAACATGTGACTGATGGCTACTTATTGTACAGCATAGTTCTATAGTATATAAAATATAGTGCATAGAAACACATTTATTTTAAAAAATGAACTTTTTGCATATTGTTAAATATCCTGGGATTTACAATTAATAGTCGAGTTCTGTCTCTGCCCTTTTCTGAGTGACTTTATGCAGATTACTTAATATTCCTAAACTTCATCTTATCGGGAGACAGGAATTTAATAGTACCCATATTGGAGCTTTGTTAGGGTTTATTGAAGTATTAAATGTAAGTTACTTTGTCTAATGCCTTTAGCATAGTGAGTGCTTTATCAGTGTTAGTTTTAAAGTAAATGCAAAATTAGTTTTTCTCAGGATTTTGCTTATTTGCTGTTATAAACCAATGCTGTGATTGTTTTTAAACAGTAATTTACATCCAGTGCTGTTACCTTCAGATGTATTTGACCAACCACAACCTGTAGGTAATAAAAAAATTGAATTCCATATATCTACTGGCATGCCAGCGACGTTTAAGAAAGATTTAGAGAAGGAACAAAATTGTGAGGAACAAAATTATGGTAAGGATATTCAAATTAGTTCATATACTACGTAAAAATTCTTTTCAGTTAGTTTTTTGTGTTAGAATTAAGTTTTATGTACAATGAATTTTAGTATATATGATCTGTATTTAAAATATGGAATAGATTTTTCCTCAATATCATTAAATAATACCCATTTTCAACTTTTATATAACTAAAATTGATGCTAGATAACAAGACTACCATTGCTACTTTTGGTAGCAATGAACTCTAGTGTGAAATTTAGTATGTTTTTTGCTGATGTTTACACTAAAAAATATGATGTAAGAGTTTTTTATATTGGTTTAATTTTTTATTGCATGTTTTATATGATAGCCTATGATTTTATTAGTATAATTGTATTATTGGTTAGGAAGTAATCAGCCTGACTATCCTGTGAGTTGTGGATTTCATGTATTTTTTCTTTTTTTTAATCCAAAAAGCATGGAAGATTATTTACCGAAGATACTATCCTTAAATTTTAAGACTATATGTTGAAATTATAGGTTTCTTTTTCTGCTTATCTTAGGCATTGATTTGATATTATATTACCATTTCTTTGTTCTTTAAATCTTCTTTTTAATTTCAGAAATAATATAAGCTTATATAAAATGTAATCAAAACAGACCATGTAAGGAAAAAACAAAGTTGACACCCAAAACCGTAGTCATCCCTCATCCCACTACCTATAGGCTTACTGTTAATAACTTGGCGTATGTGTGTACATGTGTGTGAGTGTATATCCGTCCAGATCTTATTGTATACATGTATAAACACATTCTGTTTTCAATTTTTTTTTTTTAATGGGCACCATGATAAAAACAGAGTGTTCATTGTTCACTCAATAACAACTGTTGGAAGCTAATTATATAGCAGGCTTTATGCTAGGCCTAGGGGATAAGCTAGACATGGCCTCTCATCTTTGAAGATTAAAGTGTTGTGTGGGGATAGCTAACTATGCCAGAACATAAAAATACATACTTTACTTGGCTGCATAGTACTCCATAGTATAGTTATATCAGTCTTTATTTAATCATGCCCTATTAAAAGAAGTTGAGGTTGTTTCCATTTTTTTACTATTACAGAAAATACTGGAGTATACATCTTTGTACATATAACTTTGAGCACTTGTGTGAATATAGGATAGAATTCTAGTAAGTATTGCAAATATAGTGAGTGAAAAACTATAAATGGTTTTAATTCCTGTCTCTGATGATTAGTGAGAATGCATTGCCTTTTCAGTAACTCCTATTTGTTTTAATACTTTTCTAGTTGTAAGTTTTTCTTATAGCTAGTCACCCTTGTACACAATTTTTTGTTTTTTTAAACTTAATTTACGCAAAGACTTATACCTATATGAGGGGAACAGACATCCTATTCTACATCAGTATCAAAGTAGTAATGTTGAAGTAATAGTAGAAGTTTTAAAAGTGTTTCCTGTTATTGCTGCCTGTGGGCCACAGGAGTTCTGTTTGTACAATCGTTTTTCTACATTATGAAGAGATTACTATAATGCTAAATATTAGCAGCATGTTAGTTACATCCTTTTCACAGCTTTTTGCCATCCTAGCATCCCTTAGAGTTTATTTCCTTTTTAGGTAATATAACTAGAATGTTTCCAGTAAATATTTATCATTCCCAATCCTCTCTCCCAAGCCAGTTTAATTCTTGCTGATGATAAAGTTCATGGTATGTGTTGCTATCTAATACTGAAAATTTACCATCTTTTTTAATTTTTCTAGATCAATTTAAATATACAAATACCTGTTTTTCTTTACTTCTTATAAAATTGGGATTAGGATTGGCCTTTTTTTTTTTTTTAGTTTTTTTAATGAATAATGTTTAGCAACTCCAAATGGAAGCGTCTTATTTTATGATGTTTATTCCTTCCAGTTAATTTGCTCATCTTAATATTTTAATAATCTTTGAGAAGGTTGAAAATTGTTTTCACAATATTCTATTACAAAGTCTTCATGATAACCCAGTGCATAAATAATAGTGAATAACCATGTCTCGTTAGAATGATAATTATGTATTTAATTAATTGTACATTTCTTTTGTTCACATAATTATTAATAATTTAGAATGGTTGGGCTAAACAAAATACTGATTATTGCCCCTCGAACACACACACATGCACACATCTGCCCACAGAACATTTTCATCAGATGCCTCAAACTAAATATATTGAAATTAAAGTCATTTTTTTCCCATTGTGTAGGACCTCGAAATGATACGACAAAGCAACCATTAGGTTTTCTAGGTATTTTCTTTGGTTGCTTTTATTCTGTAGTGACAGAGTTGAGTAGCCATGACAGAAACCGTATGGCCTGCAAACCCTAACATATTTACTATTTGGGCCTTCACGGAAAATGTTTGCCTACAGCTGTTCTACAGCATTGAGAAAAACACCAAAGAATTTTGGTACCAAAGATACCGTAAATAAAATTGAAGTTTAAAAAAAGAAAATATTTTGATTGGAAGGATTTTTAATGGCTAATGTTAATGTTGAACTCTTAGATTTACCTGATGCTGAAGTTGATACATCTAATGTAGGATTTGGAAAAATCTTCCCAGCACCTAATCTGAACATCACAGAGGAGATGAAAGAAGACTCTGATGAAATGCCGTCAGAATTTATCTCTAGAAAGGAGTTGAAAAAGGGCAGAATTTCTAGAGAAGGTAATTTCATAAAATAATCTAGTAGTTTATTTTACATTTCTTTGTACACTTTGTATAAAAACAAAACAAATCCTTTCATGTTATTTATCTTAATTTAAAGCACATACTACATATCTCCCCAGTTAATGTTTTTGATTACCTCTGTTGGTTATACTTCATAGAAGGAAGGTACCTCTGAGTACAATGTTTCAGTCAGTATTTTTATGGGAAAATTTTTGTTTCAATTCCTGGAACTTTTATATGGCATTTTAAACAAATCAGTGTGTCCCAACATCTGGAGTTAGATATTCCAGATACAGTTGATAGACCATCACAATATTGTATCTGTGATGCACACAAAACAGTTGTTTATTTAAAAACCAATTATTTGATGGTCAGTAATCTGTGTTTAAGGATTTTATAGCCAATGTGATAGTTTTTACTACTAGAGAAATTTTGCTATATTAATATATTTTAGGAAAATATTTCAGGTTTTAGATGGATATAACAAATGGGAAATAGACTTCCAGGTAGCATTTTTGCAGAGAACATCTAGTTGTTAGGAACAGACTAGTGACATTAATGGGAGGAGTTTGTAGAGGGGACAAGTTCACAGGCCACTGTTTGACTGAAATGCCTGATTATTGTTATTTAGCACTTCATTCTTATATTTGAATGTGGAGGAAGCTGGTAGTTTGGTAAGTTCACTTTAAGCAAAGCAAATATACAGATGATTAATAAATATGAATTTGTTGCAGTCTCTTTAATAAAGTAACCCATTTTAAAGGACCTTTGATAGTTGATACTTCATTGGACAAATTTTAGTTGTTCTAGATGCCTAAATATTTTAAAACAAAAGTTACGTTTTTTTCACGTAATTTTTGGTAAGAGACTTAACGTCACTACTAATTTCTGTAGTTTTAACATTTTAATAATGCTTAATTTATCTACCTAATAGTTTTATTTGAACGTTGTTACAGGTTTTTGTTTTTTTTTTAAGAATTGGTGAAAAAGTCTTAATTTTATATTCTTACGTTTTGTTTTGTGTTTTTTTAAATAAGAAATGGAAACACTATCGATTTTCAGAAGTTATGAACCTGGTGAACCAAACTGTAGAATTTATGTGAAGAATTTAGCTAAACATGTTCAAGAAAAGGTAAGTTGAAATTCATAACTTGATTTATTATTTTACTTTTTATTTTTCCTGAATTTCCTTATTTTTCTTTTTCCTTTTGAAATTCTAGGACCTTAAATTTATTTTTGGAAGATATGTTGACTTTTCATCAGAAACAGAACGGATAATGTAAGTAATAGTCATAACCTCAAATTGTACTTTGTCCATCTCTATTACAAATTTACCCCTCAATCCCCGTCCTCCCGGCCACCAGCGAACATTTTCCTTTTAGAGATAAAGACTATGAAGAAGTTGATCTTTTCTGTTACATACTTTAAGACGTCCAGAGCGGGGATCAGCAAACTTTTTCTGTAAATGGCCACATGGTAAAAAATTAATATTTTTATTTATTACCAGCTATACGGTGTCTGTTGCAACTGCTCAATTCTGTCATAGTATGGAAGTAGCCATAAACAATATGTAAACGAATACTCATGGCTATGTTTCAGTAAAACTTTATTTATAGAAACAGGCCAAGTGCTGAATTCAGCCTGATCGCTTCTCTAGAGCAGTGGTTTAACCTGCATAAGAATTATCTGGAGAGCTTATTAAAAACAGTTTCGTGGGCCTATCCACCCAAGTTTCAGGTTTTCTAGATTGGAATAAAAAAGAAGAAGAAGAAAAAAAACTCGTTGCCATTGAGTCGATTCCAACTCATGGCAACCCTGTAGGACAAAGTAGAACTGCCCTGTGAGTTAAGATAAATGGTGATGGAATAATTTGGAAAAGGATAGTGAGAATATCAGCACCACTGGAAGAATGTAATTGATGTCACTAAATCGTACATTTAGAAACTTTTGAAATGGTGTAACTTTGGCTGTGTGTATTTTCAGCAAAAGAAAGGTCCTCCAAGGTCGAGAAGGGAGAGTGTTGACATGTTGTGGGGTTGTTAACCAATGTCATAAAACAATATGTGTACTGATGGTTTAATGAGAAACTGTTCTGTAAACCTTCATCTAAACTAGAATAAAAAAATAAAAAAAAAAGAAGCAAAGTAGTACTGCCTCATAGAGTTCCCAAGGAGTAGCTGGTGGATTTGAACTGCTGACCTTTTGGTTAGCAGCCAAGCTCTTAACCACTGTGCCACCAGGACTCCTAGGTTGAACAAGGACCCATGAATTCAGATTTCTAACAAGCTCATGGATGATGCATAAGCTGCTGGTCCAAGGACTACACTTTGAAAACCACTGCTTGAATGACTCATACAGAAATATACTGCATTGAGGCACAGTGTTTTAGATTCTTGCTCTAAGAGCAACTCATGTTATAACGAAGCTACGTTATGTATGGCTTCCAGTTTTGTGAGAGCAAAACAGAAGGGTGTCATTTTTTAATGATGTGAAAGCTAATGTTTCTGGTTAGAATTTCATTCTTTAAAGTTCCATTTTCAGTTGACAAAGAAAGACCTTAGCCATATGAATTAGAAATAGCAAGAAGTAGAAAAGGTAGGTGAGAGGCTTTTGACCAAAACTAAACGCATTGCTGTGGAGTCAATTCCAACTCATAGCAACCGTATAGGACAGAGTAGAACTGTCTCATAGGGTTTCCAAGGCTGTAATCTTTATGAAGCAGACTGCCACATCTTTCTCCCGCAGAGCAGCTAATAGGTTTGAACTGCCAGCCTTTCGATTAGCAGCCAAGCACTTAACCACTGCACCACCAGGGCTCGTTAAAGTCTTATCAGGCCTATTACCATTTTAGATATAGTAGCAACATGTTTTAGAATTCCGCATTTATACTCAGTACTGACAGATACCCCTTCTTATAAGGATACCAAAAGTTTCTTTTGCTGGCCATGCAAAATGCTGATCCTTTTTTCTTTATTACTGCCTTTGAGTCATGATTTATAAGAAAGAGAAAACTTTATGTAATACATGTACATGTGTTAGTTTATACATTCTATTTCCAGTGTTTCCTCTCATTGGAACTTGAGGAAAAAAATTCTATATCCACAAAGCTGTAGAAATCAAAGTGCTAAATTAATAATTATTTCCCATGGGACTAGTCATGTAATTTTTTTAGAAAGCATTTCACTGCATTTTTCTTTGATAACTTTTTTTAATGCAAAAGTTTGTTTAAAAAGTTTTTGTATGCTTTTGCTAGTGCTATAAACTGTTTAAATTGATAGATGAACTTTAGTTTTAAATTACTATCTAATTTTTCTGAGTAGCTTTTGAATATAATTTTCTCTCAAAAATGTTGAAAAATAAGTACAATGTGGAATATAGTACATTATAACAAGAATTTAAAAATCTGGTTTGCGCTTCTGTCTCTGATTTTAACTAACTATGTTACCTTGAGGAAGTCATTTAGCTGCTGTAAGAATCATATGTAAAATGATAATTTTGACTAGATGATCAGTAAGTTCCCTTCCTACTCTGAAATTCTGTAGTTACTTTCTGTGATATGTCAGCCCTTCTATTCTTGATTGTGTAGTTTTTGTTTTGTTTTGTCACTTGGTCTGATAGTATTGGATTAGCTGTGAGTACTTCAGAAATATTTAAAAATAGAGAGATGAAACAATAACCTAATAAGTTTGTTTTTCTAGTTTCAGCAGTGTAATTTTTGAATCATATACATATATTTATAATAGTTTAAAGAGATAAATATAAGCACATCATTAAATTTATATAATCTTATCTAAAATCAATTTTAGAACCAGCTACGTCATGTAATTTTATAAAGCCTGACTAATTAATGTGTGGGACAGTATAGCCATTTTTACTCTTTGAAATAGCAAAATATTAAATTGTTCAGCACACTTCCATTCACTTCATCAAAATTGTTTGGCAATCTTTGGTTCAGAGCCCCTGTTTCTTCCTTGACTTTTCTAGGTTTGATATCCGCTTGATGAAAGAAGGTCGCATGAAAGGACAAGCTTTCATCGGACTTCCAAATGAAACAGCAGCAGCAAAAGCCTTAAAGGAAGCTAATGGCTATGTCCTTTTTGGAAAACCAATGGTGGTTGTATCCTTTAAACTAGTCTGTTCCAAGACTGTGTAGTTTTTTAGGAGAGGGGTATAACTGAAACTAATTTACATTATCATTTAGATATCTAAACAACTGGAATTCTAGCGTGAGATATTTAAGTTACATTTAAACATTACTGAGTCAGATGACTGTTATTTAGATTTTTATTGGAAAATAAAGGAACTTCAGCAGCATGAAGTTAGTAAAATTTCAGCCAAGTCTGTAAATGTTACAGTTATGTAGCTCAGAAGTACATATTCATGCTTAATTTAAGAGACTATGTAGTTTCCAGGTTCACATTTGGAGTCATTCAAGGATATAATTCATTGAAATTTTATTACACCCACTCCTGATTTATCAACATGTTAGGTCCTAAAGACCTAACACTATGCAAAAATCAGTGTTATGCAAAAATAGAGGATGACTACATCATTACATAACTGCCAAACCACTGAGAATCATGGCCCAGCCAAGTTGACCATAAAGACTTGTTGCCATCGAGTCAATTCTGACTCATAGTGACTCTATAGGACAGAGTAGAACTGCTCCATAGGGTTTCTAAGGAGCGGCTGGTGGATTCAAACTGCCAACCTTTTGGTTGGCATCCGAGCTCTTAAGCACTGTGCCACCAGGGCTCACATAACCTGAACTGTCACAGCCAGCTTTACTCTCGCCTTAGACCTCAGCATTCATTACTGCGTCATTAATGCGCAAAATAGTTTTGCTATTGTAATTGTCAAATGTTGGATTACAAGATAGTCAATAACTGAGGAGTGGGTGTATTTTGTATTTTATTGTATTATAACTCACATTTTTAGTTGAGAATTTTGTTAACCAGAATATATCATTGATCAACCATCCTGCTTTTAGTAGTTAATGTATTCTATAAGCTAAAAATCAGTGGGCTACGTGGTGGAGTGAAGGCGTGAAGATAATGGCTGTACAGAAAAGATTAATATTTTACTTGCCCATAAATACCTAGAAAAGACCTGGACAGCAGGTTGGAAGCACTCAAAAAAATATTTGATGAATGCTTGAGAGTAGGAAGACAAGTATAAAAGATAAAAAACTATTTCCCTACCCTACATTAGAAAGTTCTTGGTGTATCATTTAGAAAAGATTACTTTTGTTTTTATGAAGGAGGCCTTAATTTTAAACATATTAGCAATTTGCTCGATCTGCTAGACCAAAACAAGATTCTAAAGAAGGAAAAAGAAAATGTTAAAAATTAGTAAAGGTAAGTGTGGGTATAACATAATGAAAGGGTAAGACTGTTAAGATAAAATTAAGGACAGAAGCCTGATACAGTAGTAATTCAGCAATCTCCCAAGGTTTTTCAAGAATTTATCTTTATGCAGTTAATCACCATTTAACTTAGGAATTTTCGCGATAGAATAAGCCCATTTGTATGTATAAATTAAGTTCAGAGAATAAATTTTATAAGGATAACATTATCTTTATTTGCCTTTACTTTTTTCTGCCTAGAGTGAAGCAGTAGTTCTTAACCTTAATATGTGTTAGAATCACCTGGTGAGCTTAGTAAAACATAGATTATTGGGCTCCACTCCCAGAGTTTCTCATTCAGTAGGTCTGGTGTGGGGGCCTAGGGTGACCAACCATCCTAGTTTACCTGTGACTGAGGGGTTTCCCAGCACACTGGATTTGTCAATGCTAAAGCCAGGACAAGTTGGTCACCCTAGATGAAGCCTGAGAATTTGAATTACTAATGAGTTCCCCCTTAATAGTGAGACATCTGGTCGAGGGACTACACTTTGAAAACTCCTAAGGTAAACACTTAAAGCTAAATTTTCTAACTCATAATTCTACAATTCTGAGTATATTAAATTATTGATTATTACCATAAGTCATAAAAAATGTATACTTTTTTATGGAATGAAATATTTTCTGCTTCAAACAAATAATTTTAATGAATTCTTTAAGTAGTTTCAGGATTAAAAATGTTAAAACATTTTAAATTCTAAAGCTTGTGTTACAGTGTTTAAGTAAGATGTTGAGTGAAGTATATTCCTTTTGTTTTCTGTTTTATTTTAAATCTGTCTTTGTAAACTGGAAGAACATGAAATAAATGGGTCAAAATTACTGATAGCTTAAAAAAACCATATGACTAAATAAGAGGGAATTTTGCTTAATGTTTATTCCCTCTTTGAAATGTCTTGAATATTTGAATTTTTGCTGTAGAGTGTTTATACCAATATAATCAGAAGTTCAACTATCTTAAAGGAAAAATAAAAATTAAATAAATAATTTTTAGTGTGTATTTAAAAAATCTTTTATTTGTAAATCTCATGCTGAGAAATAAGACAAAAATTAAACTGCATTCTGCTGTTCTTCTTTAGAAGCATTCCTGCGTAAATACTGCTGTAATACTGTCATGCAAAGTGTATCCTTTCTTGTTGTATCCTTTTTGGGGCAGTGCTTTTTGGTTTTTTTCTAGAAATGTTTTACCCTTCCTCCACCCATTGGTCCAGATAGAGCAATAATTTTTACATTTTATTCAAATGAAATATTTCTAAAATTATCACTGCAGATTGAACAAATCATTTGTGTTTTTTGGATTTGTTGAATTTTCTCTATGTTCTTGAAGTCATGTTATTTTTCCAGAGAAAGTTAGTGAATCAGGTCACCTTATTTACTTGGAGAATGTATGCATTTACTTTAACACAGAATGTAGTCTTACTTCTATTTGTATATTTCCTAAACCTAATAAAAACTATATGCTTTCTGTTTTATAACATATCTGGTTTAGGTATTCTACGTAACATGTTGTAAAAAGTACATATGTTAAAATTAAAATAACTGATTTCTGTGTAAATTCCAAATAAGAGTAGCTGACCTCACATCTGAAGTCTTATTGAAATCTCCTTTGAGGTAGATAGCAAGTAGAAGTGTCTTTTTTCCTTTTTTCTTTTTTCCCCCCTAAAAACAAAAAGATGGAATGCAACAAGAGTAATAAAGGGGAGAAGACACTATATTGGCTCAGGGTAACTCATTAAGTGAAAAGAAATCATCCTGGTAGGTATAAAACAACAGTGATTTCCAGACTGGTTGATGTCCAGAATCACTAGAACAATGGTTCTCAATCTTGATTGCACAGTAATGATCTGGGAAACTTTTGAAAAACACTGATTGAAAAAAAAAAAATCCCTTAAAAAATATACGATGGAGTTTTCATGTAATTGGTCTGGGGTCCAGCCCAGATATTGGAATTTTTAAAACCACCTGAAAGTGATTCTAATGTGCAACCAAGGTTGAGAAACACCAAGGAAAGATTTTTATGCGTAAAGATTCCTGGACTCTATCCTAGAATTAATAAATCAGAATCTCTGGGGATGACACCCAAGAATATGATTAGAAAAGATTCCCCTCATAATGCTAAGGGCTGACCAGTTTGAATACTGCTTTGTTAGCATAAAATGGTCAGGTACCTCATACTAGCCCAGCCATGTAACCGAAAAGTAGGAAAATCGAGACTTGGAGCCTTGACATGTCTTTCTTCCTTGCAAATTTTGCTGTTGTTAGTACTGTGAAAACAAACTTCTGTTAATTATTATCACCGTAAGAATACATAAAAGCAGTAGATACTGAAATTGCAGTTGTTTCTGTATGGGGACAGTTAAAGTGTTTTATTTTTTAATGGTATAAATCACAGTTTCTGTATACGGTGTTTACCTAATTAAAACTTTGTTGCACTGACATGATTCACTAATTTTCTAAATATCAATGTTTTAGCTTTTAGTCAATTTTAAGCTATGAACAGTTTTATAATTATGATTATTTTTAATGGACTTTTATGGTGTTCCAGGTTCCTTTTGGATTCTGTACCTTTCAAGTGCTTTCCAACTTTGAGGAGGAGAAATTGGCCACCTGGACTATGGAACTGTGCGTAACAGCTTTTAAAATGTATTTAAAAGTTAAATCTATATGTATTTAAATCAGTTGATTGGAGATCTATTACATGTATTTTAATCACTTCCATAGTATATAATAAATTATTTTCTTTCTGGTAAAATGGTGTTAATTTTTTTTTTTATATATATAAGTTGTGTGCATCTGGTATAACTTTATAATTACATACTTTTTTATTTATGTAGTTTTAGAATACTAAATGTAAATTTTCTTTTATTATAAATATTGGCATTTCTAAGTGGATACTAATACACATTTTTAACCAGTAGTCTTAATTGTAAGTGATAATTGTTTTAAAACTTTTATCTGCCTGGGTTTTGAGTTTTATTATTGTTGTTGTGGGGTATTTTGTTTTTGTTTTTGCTAGTTAGGGTTCTCTCCCAGGATAAGAATTTGTATCCGTACCCTAATTTAGTGTTCCATATTTATACTCCCAAATGTATCAGGATATCACTCAGAGGTTAAAATGTTTCCCATATAAAATTTTTCTATTCTCTTAGTGAAATGAGTTTCAGCTATATTTAAGTAGAAAAACTTTGGTATTTTTATTTGATCTTACTGATACTCTTCTGTGAGTATGTGGTGACAGTTTAGAATGACTGCCCAGAGGCTGAAATCTTCTGGATATTGGGATTTTTAAAACCTCCTAAAAGTGATTCTAATGTGCAGCCGAGGTTGAGGAACACCAAGGAAGGATTTTTATGCCTAAAGATTCCTGGACTCTACCCTAGAACTAATAAATTTGAATCTCTGGGAATGGGTTCCAAGAATATAATTAGAAAAGGTCCCTCTCATAATTATAAGGACTAACCGGTTTGAATACTACTTTGTTAGCATAAAATGGTCTGGTACCTAACACCAGCCTAGCTTCTTCCTTTTTTCTCATAGCATTGTATAGTGGGTAGAGTGCATTAAAGGTGGGAATTAGAAGCATGGAGAAGTGAACCCTGGAACACGCAAATGTTTAGATGATGAAGTAGTTAAGAAACCATTAAACAAGACTTAGGAGGAACGGCTAGAAGCCAGGTGAAGAAAGTGTCTCAACCAGGAAGTGTTGTTCAAATGTGTGAAATCTGTTAATGATGTAAATAAGATGAATTCGGGGGATTGAACATTAAGTTTAGTAAGATTTGTGACCTTGACCTTGACAAGCTAATTTGATCGATGGAAGAACCAACAGGTGGTATTCAAGACAATGGTAGAGAGAAACTGAAGATAGTGAGAATTGAAGACAGCTCTTTTAAGGAGTCTTGCTTTAAAGGGGAATAGAGAAATTGTTACTAGAGTGGGATGTGATATCAAGAGGTTTTTTTTTTTTAAACAGACATTTTTTATAAAGGTATAGCAGATTTTTGTGCTAAGGGAGCTGATCTCTAGTAGAAAGAAAAACGTGATGTAGGAAGGAGAGACAAATTGATGGAGCCATAGATCTGCTGTACAAATAGTGTTTAGCTTTAAAGATAAGGCTGCACTCCCCTTATTAATAGCAATAAAAGGAAGGGCAGATTACTTAGGTCTATACGCTTCTAGTTTTGGAGATGTGACGGTAGAAGCATGCGGAAATTTCTTTTTTTCCTAAGTAGAATAAGTAGCAAGGTTATGAAGAAGAGGGAAGAAGTGATGGAGAGTTGAGGAAAGAAAAGGTGTAAATTAGATTATCTAGGAAAGTGCAACAGTGAGCAAACTCTTAGAAGGATTGCCAGGCAGTGCTGAAGTGCCCACTTGAAGTTACTTGTTATTATTTATTTATTTATTTTTTGGTGGTGAAAATATGTACAACAAAACATACTCCAACATTTTCTACATTTATAATTCAGTGACATTGATTACATTCATCAAGTTGTGCAACCATTCTGTCTTTTTTCCAAATTATTTCACTATCATTAACATAACTCAGTACCGCCTAAGCAAAAACTCACCCATTTTTCCTTCTTCCCTTTCCTGGGGTAACCACTAGTAATCTTTAGTTTCTACATGTTTGTTTATTTCATCTAAATGAGATCATATACTATTTGCCCTTTTGTGACTGACTTATTTCACTCAGTGTATTGTTTTCAAGGTTCATCCATGTTATGGCACGCATAGGGACTTCATTTCTCTTTACGGCTGATTTAATATTCCATTGTATGTATATACCACATTTTGCTTATCCATTCATTTGTGAATGGACATTTTGATTGTTTCTACCTTTTGGCTATTGTGAAAAGTGCTGCATTGAACATTAGTGTAGGGGTGTCTTTTTACGTTCCTGCTTTTACTTCTTCTGGGTATATACTTAAGATTGCAGTTGCTGGGTGATATGGTAGTTCTATGTTCAACTGTTTGAGAAACTAACAAACTGCTTTCCACAGTGGCTGTACCATTTTATATTCAGACCAGCAAGAGATGAGGGTTCCAGTTTCTTCACAACCTCTTCAACACCTGTTGTTTCCTGTTCTTTGATCATTGCTATTCTAATGATATCTCATTGTGATTTTGATTTGCATCTTCCTAATGGCTTCTTGGGAGAAACATTTGACATTCTGCTTCTGTAAAGATTACATCCAAGAAAACGCTATGGGACATTTCTGCTGTTTCATAGGGTCACTATGAGACTCCACTAGACAACACCTAACAATTACTGTAACTATGGCTAATGAAATCGAAGGGAGCCCTGATGGTGCAGCAGTTGAACACCTAACCAAAGGGTCAGTGGTTTGAACTCATCGAGCACTCCACAGGAGAAAGATGTGGTAGTCTGCTTCTGCAGTCATCTGCAGTTCTGCTCTGTCTTATAGGGTTGCTGTGAGTCGGAACCGACTCAATAGCAATGGGTTTGGTTTTGGTTTTAATGAAGTTAAGTGTCTTTTCGTGTGCCTGTTGACCATTTGAATATCGAGTGAAACGTCTTTTCAAGTCCTGCCCATTTTTTCATTGGGTTATTTGATTTTTGTTGTTAAGTTGTAGACTTTTTTTTTAAATAATATTCTTTGGCTGTTAGACCCTTATTGGATATATAAGATCCCTAGGTGGCACACCTGCTTCTGTAAAGATTACAACCTAGGAAACCCTATCAGGCAGTTCTCCTCTGTCATATAGGGTCACTTAGAGTCAGAATCGATTCAGTGGCACACAACAACATGTGGTGCAAACAGTTTGTGCTCGACTGCTCACCTAATGGTTGGCGATTCGAACCCACCCAGTGGTACTGTGGAAGTTAGGACTACTGATCTGCTTCTGTTAAGATTACAGCGAGGAAACCTTATGGAGTAGTTCTGTTCTATAACATATGGGGTTGCCATAAGTCTAAACCATTTGACAACATGTTCCACTATCAACACCCGTGGAAGCAGCAGTCAAGAAATCAGATGATGTGTTGCATTGGGCAAACCTACTACAGAAGACCTCTTTAAAGTGTTAAGAGGCAAAGATGTCACTTTAACGACTAAAGTGCACCTGACCCAAGCCATGGTATTTTCAGTCACCTCATATGCATGTGAAAGCTGGGCAGTGAATAAGGAAGACTGAAGAATTGATGTCTTTGTTCCAGCTAGAGCAATAAGGCAAGAAAAAGAAATAAAGGGCATCCAAATTGGTAATGAAGAAGTTAAACTGTCCCTGTTTGCAGATGATATGATACTAGACATAGAAAACTCTATAAAGACCACAAGAAATCTGCTGGAACTAATAGATTCAGCGGAGTAGCAGAATACAAGATAAACATAAAAAAATCAGTTGGATTCCTATACACCAAAAAGAGAACGATGAAAAGGAAACAGGAAAACAATACCATTTATAATAGCCCCTAAAAAAATAAAATACTTAGGAATAAATCTAACCAGGAATGTAAAAGACCTACCCAAAGAAAACTACAAAACAATACTGCAAGAAACCCAAAGGGATCTACATAAATGGTAAAACGTACCATGCTCATGGATAGGTAGAGTCAACATTGTGAAAATGACAGTTCTACCCAAAGCAATTTACAAATACAACGCAATCCCGATCCAAATACCAACAACATTCTTCAAAGAGATGGAAAAACTAATCATTAACTGTATATGGAAAGGGAAGAAGCCCCGAATAAGTAAAGCACTGCTGAAGAAGAAGAATAAAGTTGGAGGACTCACACTACCTGACCTCAGAACCTACTATACAGCTACAGTAGTCAAAACGGCCTGGTACTGGTACAACGACAGATACATTGACCAATGGAACAGAATTGAGAACCCAGATGTAAATTCATCCATCTAGCTATGAGCAGCTGATATTTGACAAAGGCCCAAAGTCCATTAACTGGGGAAAAGACAGTCTCTTTAACAAATGGTGCTGGCGTAACTGGATATCCAACTGCAAGAAACTGAAACAAGACCTATACCTTACACCATGCACAAAAACTAACTCAAAATAGATCAAAGACCTAAATATAAAATCTAAAACAAGAAAGATCATGGAAGAAAAAATAGGGACAACACTAGGAGCCCTAATACATGGCATAAACAGAATACAAACCATAAGTAACAATGCACAAACACCAGAAGAAAAACTAGATAACTGGGAGCTCTTAAAAATCTAACACATGCTCATCAAACAACTTCACCAAAAGAGTAAAAAGACAACCTACAGACTGGGAAAAAATGTTTGGCTACAACAAATTGGATCAGCCAGTCTCCAGAATCTACAAGATAAACTGCAAAACCTCAACAACAAAAAGACAATTAAAAAATGGGCAAAGGATATGAACAGGCACTTTGCCAAAGAAGACATTCAGGCAGCTAACAGACACATAAGGAAGTGCTCAGGATCATTAGCCATTAATGAAATGCAAATCAAAACTACAATGAGATACCATCTTACCCCAACAAGCTAGTATTAATCCAAAAAAACACTAATAAATGTTGGAGAGGTTGTGGAGAGACTGGAACACTTATACACTGTTTGTGGGAATGTAAAATGACACAACCACTTTGGAAATCAATTTGGTGTTTCCTTAAAAAGCTAGAAATAGAAGTACCATATGATCCAGCAATCCCTGTCCTTGGAATGTATCCTAGAGAAATAAGAGCCATCACACAATAGATATATACACACCCATGTTCATTGCAGCACTGTTCGCAATAGCAAAAAGATGGAAACAACCTAGGTGCCCATCCATCAATGGACAAATGGATAAATTGTGGTATATTCACACAGTGGAATACTACACAACAACAAGAACGATGAATCCGTGAAACATAACATGGAGGAATCTGGAAGGCATTATGCTGAGTGAATTTATTCAGTCTCAAAAGGGCAAATATTCTCTAAGACCACTATTATAAGAACTCAAGAAAAGGTTTAAACACAGAAGAAAACGTTTTTTGTTGGTTACGAGGGTAGGGAGGGAGGGAGAGGGGTATTCACTAACTAGATAGTAGGCAAGAATTAGGTAAAGGGAAGGACAGTACACAGTACAGGGGTAGTCAGCACAACTGGACTAAACCAAAGCTAAGAAGTTTCCTGAATACTACCAAACACTTCGAGGGACAGAGTAGCAGGGGCGGGGGTCTGGGGACCACGCTTTCAGGAGACATCTAGGTCAATTGGCAACAAAGTTTATTAAGAAAATGTTATGCATCCCACTTTGTTAGTGGCGTCTGGGCTCTTAAAAGCTAGCGAGCAGCCATCTAAGATGCATCAGTTGGTCCCAACCCACCTGGAGTAGAGGAGAATGAATAATGCCATAGACACAAGGAAACTATTAGCCCAAGAGACAGAAAGGGCCACGTAAACCAGAGACTTCATCAGCCTCATACCAGAAGAACTAGATGGTGCTCTGCTACCACCAAAGACCGCCCTGACAGGGAAAACAACAGAGAGTCCCTGACGGAGCAGGAGAAAAGTAGGGTGCAGAACTCAAATTCTAGTAAAAGGACCAGACTTAATGGTTTAATTGAGACTGGAAGGACCCCAGAAGACATGGCCCCTGGACTCTCTGTTAGCCCAAAGCTAAAACCATTCCCAAGGCCAACTCTTCAGACAAAGATTAGACCAGACTATGGGACATACAGTGATACTCATGAAGAGTGTGCTTCTTGGCTCAAGTAGATAGATGAGACTAAATGAGTGGCTCCTGTCCAGAGGTGAGATGAGAAGGCAGAGGGGGTTAGGAGCTGGTTTAATGGACACGGGAAATCCTGTGTGGAAAGGAAGAGAGTGCTGTCACAGTATAGGCAGAGCAACAAGGGTCACATAACAATGTATGTCTAAATTTTTGTATAAGAGACTAACTTGAATTAGAAACTTTACACTTAAAGCACAATTTAAAAAAAAACTAGGCCTTTCAACCACACCCTTATATATTCTAAGAATTTTATGGTTTTAGTTTTCACATTTTGGTCTTTGATCCATTTTTAATTGGTTTTTGTTTATGATGTGAGGCATGGATCCTGCTTCATTCATTCTTCTGCATGTGGAGATCCAGTTTTTCCGGCACCACTTGCTGAAGAGACTCTTCCTTCTCCATTGAATGGACTTAGCACCCTTGTTGAAAATCAGTTGAACATGTGTGTATGGATTTCATTTCTGGACTCTCAGTTGTATTCCGTTCAGCTGTATATTTGTTGTTATACCTGTACCAGGCTGTTTCAATTACTGTGGCTCTATAGTATGTCTGGAAATCAGAAAGTCCTGAGTCCTCCTACTTTTAATCTTCAAGATTGCTTTAGCTTTCCAGGGTCCCTTGCCCTTCCGTATTAAGAATTGGCTTTTCCATTTCTGCAAAAAAGGCTGTTGGAATTTTGATGGGGATTGCATTGAATTTATAGATTGTTTTGGGTAGTATTGATAACTATGTTCAATTTCCTATACTGCAAACAGAATGTCCTTCGATTTATTTAAATCTTCTTTATTTTTTTATTTATCTTTAATTTCTATAGCTTTCTGTATGTAAGTCTTTCATCTTCCCAGTTAAATTTATTCCAAGGAACTTTATTCTTTTAGAAGCTATTGAAAATGATAATGTTTCCTTAATTTCCTCTTCAGCTTGTTCATTGCTGATGTATAGAAACCCAACTGATTTTTTTGTTTTGACCTTGTACCATGCTGCTTGCTGAGTTC